ATAAGGTGCAGAGGATCTTGAGCCAGTTGTAAATATTGGACTGCATCCTCAACCCCACCGCCACTATATAGAATTTTACACTGCAGGAAAAGGCGAGTCACCAGACTGAAAATTAAGGAGACAAACAGTTACATTTTCCACTGCAAATTATGGGTTAGCTGATCTCTAACAATGGGATATATTATTATGCAGCCTCTCCACAACCCAAAGGAGCATTCAAACTGCAGGTTCAACATTAATGTCCTACATAAGGCTAGGCAAAACACCAACATATAGACATTGGAAGAACACTGGGATCTTCCAGGATTCAACAAAAGTGCAGTAATGGCCTTTGGTGCCTCCATTTATCTAAAGTTAACTTAGCCTGTAATATACACGATCCAGATCTTTCTTTTCCACATGCACTATTGTGACTTCAAGGAGCGGGAACATGGGGAAGTGGGGTAACAGTCCCAGCTGAAGGAGAGGGGTTTCGAAAGTTCCGCTTCCACCCAATTTTAACTGGCACATCTGACTCCCTCCGCTTACCCTGCCTGGGCAGTAACCTCTGGAGCACCACTACCACTTCCCTATGGGGTGAGACAACTTATCAATGATCTTGGCTGTCTTACCAAAGAAGCAAGCCCCCTACAACTGACCACCCCGTACCAAAATATTTCAAGGATTCTAGCCTGGGGAGGTTATACAACATTTGGTCACACACCAACCACGTGGTAACGTAATATGGATATGTGCGTTTCCAACCTCATTTGGAGCATGACAGCCAACCCTGCACGTGCCTGCAAGGGCTTGAGGTTGACAGGGGTTCCACTGCCGCCCCCTGCCGGCAGGAAGATGCTAAGACCTACCACGCCCCCCACTCGCACCACGGCATGGCATTGGGGGGCTACTGGAAAATGGGAGGTTTCTTGCAGCTCCAGAAGGGAATGGAGATGGGGCACATAGTCCCTCCATACTTCCCCACAGCAAGGCATAGAGCTGCCCATGTGATTCCTGCTTGGGATATACCAGATGAACATCTCAGGGAAGGTGCAGAAATAGAGCCCGCTCCCCCCCCCCCCCCCCCCCATCTCTGCTTGCAGCCCGGGAGAGTAAACGCGAACGAGATAGCAAACAGAACCCACCTTCCTTATGCGCTTCTTCCTGATGCTCTCCACCGCAAACACCTGCTCCCCGATAGCGGAAAGCTCCATACAGGGAGAAATGAGGAGGCGGCTGTTCCCAGATTCAGTGCGGGGTCCGTCTACGTGCCGCGGAGTCTTGAGCGCCTTTTTTTATTTTTTATTTTTGCTGCTGCTGCTGCTGTTATTGCAACGCTCGCTTGGACTTACTCTCACTTACACACGCACGCACACCCCCCTCGCGCGCTCAATCACGCCGCCTCCAACGTTCCATTTTAGAACCTGCGCAACATTTTCCCAGGCGCGCGCAAGCCTCCGCCCCCTTCTCGTGAGCGCCTGTCAGGCACCGAGCGCACGAGGGCCGAGCCGAGACCTGGCCGAGCAGCTCCTCCCACAAGCAACCTGCTCGAGAGCCGGAGGAGGCGCGGACGGCTCCTCCGCCTCCGGCCTTTATTTGGTGCGAGGCTTCCGTGGCCAGCCTGGAGCATTACCCCTCCCCTCCTCATAAGGGAAGGGGGGGGGAAGAACCCGGTTTGAATGAGGACTGGAATTAAGAGCGGGACATTGTGGACGGCGGGAGGCGCTGGAATGTCTCGGTCCTTTCGCAGCCTTGGGCTCTGGGTGGCGCAGTATACAGATCAGCCCTGGAACTGTTGCGTTCACACACACCGCTGCAGGATTTTACGCACTGATCTGCGAATAGAGGAAAGCGGGCCTTCTTGGCGAGGAAGCACGCAGGATAGTGATGCACAAGAACCCCACCAGGGATCTTTAGCATTCAGTTTAGTTCACCCCGTACACGAAGAGGGTCTTGCGGTGTAGAAGAGAGTCACAGTGCAGAATTCGCCTGCCAGGGCTTTGCATGCTGGCTTCTCCGTACACGGCAGACCGGCTGCAGCAGCGACACCATCTTCCATTTCTCTTAGTGCGCTCCCTTCCATGTGTTACGGTGGCATAATGATGTGAGTTCCAGGCCCCCTAAATTGATGTTACCAGGAGGCAAGATCTTTGTTTTCCTGGTGGAACAAAATGGCAGGCAGGAATTCATCAGGTGATGCGCTTCCCCGTCTTTAGTGAAGAACCTGTACTGTCCGAATTTCTCCGTGTAGTTCTTACACCTCGAAGATGAGAGGGTGTGAAAATAGTATTTAAGTATAGGCCACCTGATGATCGGTATTAAGAACCTGGCTGCAAAGGTCACGTTTATGTGAAAGAGGGTTCATTGGAGGGGGGACGTCATCCACCCTCGGTGTTTATGTCGGAACTTTTTTTTAAAAAACCCTTATATCCTGCCATATTCCCATTGGTGCATTCTTTCTCAAAGACCTGCCTCCCTGTGTTTTCATTGGGCTGCAACTTATATTTGCTTCCTTTCCCCTCCCTTCCCTTGCTTAATGGTTAATTACTTAGTTTTTAATTGAGAAATATGCGCGAGTTTTTTGTTCAGCCGCAGGTGCTTCTCTGAACATTTACACAGCGATTTTTTGTTTCCTGATTTGGAACGACGAGAGCTTGCGTTTGGGGTGGGCTTTTTAGGAAAATTGTTCCCACCAGAGAGTTCAATTTTTAAACAAAATTGTAACAAAAATTAAAGAAGTGTGGAAATGGCTGCATGTGGTTGAAGCTACTACCCATCCAGAATGTTAGTGGCCTGGCTGGAATGTTGTGCTGTTGGACGCTTGCCGTAATTGGAGGATACAGCGTCAGAGAAAATATTCCAGTGGAGCTGCTGTTGCCTGTGGTGGTAGCAGTGATTCTTCAGCATTGCATAGGAATACGTTAGTGAGAGCTGCGAATTGTTGATGCGGTGTATGCATGCTGTGCTACCACATGATGTGTCATCCTTGAATAATAGGGTTGCGGAGAGCTGTAGTGCTGTTTTTCAGGGACATTTGGAGAGTGTGTGTGTGTATATGAGACAGAGACTCCAACTAGGGTTGCCATCCTCCAGGTGGTGGCTGGAGATCCGGGATTACAACTGATCTCCAGGTGACAGACATCAGTTCTTTTGGAGAAAATGGCCTCTTTGGAAGGTGGACTCTATGGCATTATACCCCACGGGATTTCCTCTTCTCCGCAAACCACACCCTCCTCGGTCTCTTCCCCCTCCCAAATTTCTAGGTATTTCCCAACCCAGACCTAGCAACCGTAACTCCAAGAACCCTTCAAGATGGGTGGCCATGTTTGTCTGTAACAGTAGAAAAGAGCAAGAGTCTAGTAGCACCTTAAAGACTAACAAAATTTGCAGCAGGGGATGAGCAGTGACTCATTCCCTCCCACAAATGTTGTTAGTCTTTATTAAGATTTGTCTTTAAGGTGCTACTGGACTCTTGTTTTTTATACTCCAAGACCCCTTGAAAGCCAGTCAGGCACTCCAGAGCATCTCTGAGGCCCCGGTCACATGGAAGGTTTTGGGCTGGGAGAGGGACAGATCGGGGGCGCAGCAAATGGGCACGATCTCACCACAACATCTGGGAAGCGGTGCGTACTCGTCCCCGATCTGGCCCTTCAGGCTGAAAACCCACAGTAAAAAAGAACCACCCCCAGAGGTGGACTTACCAAGAATGCCGCATCAAGCGTGGCCGTGAGATTGCCACCACGCGCTTCGTCCGGAGCAATCCCGGCTCCCGGCCAAACTGCACATGTGCACACATGCGCAGTTCAGCTGCTCCGCTCCCCTTTCAGTGGCTTCCCCCCGGCGTCTGATCGTGCCGGGGAGGAAGTGCGTGGCGACTCAGGGGATCTATGTGATCCCACCGCCGCGTGTCTTTTTTGGTGCGCCTTTAAAAAGCCGCACTTTGCCGGTGCTTCTCCCCCCCCCCCCCCCCCCCCCGTGGCAGGGGCCTGAGCTGAGTTTCTCTTCCTCAGCTGTGTGATTACCTGCTGTCTTTCATCTCAGATGACTACACAAGCCATGCAGTGCCACACACGGTTTCTTGATAAAAGAAAACACTTTGCTCATGCTTGGGGCAACTTTACCCTTGGGTTCTCGGGGGGACTATTTAGGTAGCTCTACTCTGCTTTTCTCCCCAGTGGGGAAACAAACTAACTTATAACAACATTCTTCCCCTCTTCCATTTTGTCCTCACAACAACAATCCTGTGAGGTGGGTTAAGCTGAGAGAAAATGACTCAGGGTGACCCAAGGGTCACCCAGTGAGCTTTCATGGCAGAGTGGGAATTTGAACCTGGGTCTGTAAGAAACTAGTCTGGTGTTCTGACCAAAACGCTTTTGTTTGGGAGAAGAAAAATCATTCTGCATAAGGCTCAGGAAGCACTCATCCTAACATGAGAGAACAAGAGAAGCCAGTGTTGGATCAGGCTAATGGCCCATCCAGTCCAACACTCTGTCACACAGTGGCCAAAAATACCAGGTGCCATCAGGAACTCCACCAGTGGGGCCAGGACACTAAAAGCCCTCCCACTGTTCCCCCCCCCCCCAGTCACCAAGAATACAGAGCATCACTTGACCCAGATTGAGAGTTCCTATCTATACCTTGTGGCTCATAGCCACTGATGGACTTCTCCTCCATATGTTTATCCAGTTCCCTCTTTAAGCCATCCATGCTTGTAGCTGCCACCACCTCCTGTGGCACCTGTTAATCACTCTTTGGATGAAGAAGTACTTCCTTTTATCTGTTCTAACCCGACTGCTCAGCAATTTCATTGAGTGCCCACGAGTTCTTGTATTGTGAGAAAGGGAGAAAAGTACTTCTTTCTCTACCTGCTCTATCCCATGCATAATTTTGACAACCTCTATCATGTCAACGTCTCAGTCGTCATGTCTCCAAGCTAAAGAGCCCCAAGCACTTTAACCTCTCTTCATAGGGAAAATGTTCCAACCCTTTTATCATTTTAGTTGCCCTTTTCTGCACTTTTTCCAATGCTATAACATCCTTCCTGAGGTGCGGTGACCAGAATTGCACACAGTATTCCGAATGAGGCTGCACCATTTATTTAAAGAGGGGCATTATGATACTGGCTGATTTGTTTTCAATTCCCTTCCTAGTAATCCCCAGCATAGCATTGGCACACCATTTTGACATTTTCAGTGAGTTATCTACTACTGACTCCAAGATCTCTCTCTTGGTCAGTCTCCGCCAGTCAGGGTTTTTGTTAGCAGCCTAATAATGGAAAATCCAGTGAAACATAACAGAACTGGTTAAGCTGAGTGCAACACAACACAGGATACATCAATGGCCCAATACACTCTGGACCGGTTGCAGCAGCATTCAGAGTAGATAGCATCATTAGCAAAACTGAGCCAGCCTCTCTGCAGAAGTCTCGTTTGAAAGCACCCCAAGAAATCATTGTGCTGCAACTGCTGATAACTGCTTCATGTTGTAAAGAGCTGTCCTGGCACCTGTTCAAAGCTGCATTCTTGAAGCTATTTGCAGTGAACAACTGCAGTACTAGACCATACTAAGGCTGAAGAAATTGGTGGATTCTTTGGTGGCCACCAGATGGCACTCTTTACATTCACAAAGGGTCTGTGCCCCTTTCCAGGCTAATTCATGCATTAGGGTCAGCTGCTAGAAGCCTTTTTGGTGTGGCAGTGGCTCTGGCTGGTATCTGTAACATTGTATAGGAACTGTCCAGTGTATGGATTCCTTCCCATCGTGCAGAGGGTTCCCATACTTGCACAAAGTGCTGCTAGGAATCTGTTGCTTGAGTGAAAATTTCGGGTTTTGGGAATAATTCCCCATGCTGAGGAGCTCTCACATATGGCTGCTTTGTGGGTTCACTGCCATATGGGAGGGTTTGCAGTAATTTCCAGATTGCAGCTGGAATATCAAAATCAGCGCTTGTTTCCTTCTCAACAAATTTAATTTACTGCCATGCTTCTACTTGCTGTAATAGAAGCCGCATGACTTCCTGACCTATGGGTGGAGGAAGGTAGCCTTGCCTCAAGGGCTTGGCATGTTTACTGTCCATCCCACGACCCGTAATTTTTTTGCCAGTCAAGGATGGATGTTTCAGTGGTGTCTTTACACTGAGAAATCCACTAAACTGTTCTGATACTGTACTGTTTTTGCTACCAGTAAAGTTGGGAGGGGTTATTGCTTTGCGTCTCCCCCCCCAAAACCCCCCTAACATTAGTATTTACCTTAAAGGTCTTAAAGGTGCCACTGGACTCTTAATCAGTATAGTCTCTTTCCTACTGAAATTCAAGGCTTCTTCTTCTTGCCCTGTGTTTTAATTGTTGTTTTTATATGTGTGTATTTTCGCTTTGCTTTAAATGTTTTAATGATGTGTTTTACTTTGGTTTTTATGGATTTTAAGATGTGTTTTTTACTTTGTATGTCTTTCATTTGTTAACTACCTTGGTGGCCCAAATCAGGGCAGAAAGAGAGGGTATAAATTTT